GTGCGAAAAACGGCAGGGGGAGGAGGTAACTGTGAGGAGGGAGCTGGGGGGGAATATGGCAAACGCTGCCATCTGCTCTTGCCGTGCCCCCAAAAAGCGGAGAGGAGCCCGCCCGGCACCCCAGCCCCTCGGCGCTGGCGGTGCCGTGCCGCCTGCCTCCGGAGAGCTCATCCTCCTGTTCTCGCAGTTTTCTGGCTTCCAAAATGCAGGACTTGCCCTTGGTCCCGAAAAACCCCTCTTTGGCCGTGTTGGGGCAGGAGGGGATGACCTGGTGCTCCCGTGTGATCCCCCAAAACCGTGCAGGCTCTCGGCACAGAACTGGCTCCCAGGGCCAGCGTGGTTTCTCGTAATTAGGTACAACCAGAGCTTGGTCACATCACAGAACATGCTGCATAGCTATGCAGAGTCTAAACAGATGTACGAGCGCACATAAGTACTCAAATTTGCTAGATTTTCCATCAGGAGGAGTTACTTTCCAGCACTGCGGACTTGCATGGCTCTATGAGCTGTTAAACTTGTGCCTGTGTCTAAAATAATCTCATCACCCACGTCTTTATGCACATCTGCTCATTTACATTATTATCATGAGGCACATTATCTGCTGTAATGGTATACAGATTTGAGCCGTGGAGGCCAGCCATCCCTCGTACGTGCATTTTTACTGCATGTGCAGTGTATCTGCCATAATCTGATGCACAGCCTGTCTCAGGCACTGGCCGCACGGAGCAGCAACTGCAACAAAATCCTAATGATCTCTTTCTTTTCACCACCTTAAAAGGTAGCTCTGCCTTGAGCCAGGAGGATGCTTTCCTATCTGTCTGGTGTTCCTCTCCATCCCTTTTTACCCACAGGAATGTTTCTGGATTTTTTTTTTTCCTCTTATCGTGTGCAGTAACAGAAATCAGGCCAGCCAGGGGAGGAGAAGGCAGAGAGCTATTTCAGGGAGCTGCTGTTATCTGCTCTATGTTAATCCCCTGGCTGGGTGAGGGGAAGGTTTTCCCTGAGTGCTTCACTGGGAGGGCTTATATTAAACATTGAAAAGCAAAGAGAGGAAGAAGAGGATTAGAGGGAGAGAGAGGAAGCTGGCTGCTGGTTTTACTCGGGTTATCCATCTGCTCTGCTTTTATGGCTGCAACAGCGTGAGCAATCTCACTTGGGTTTTTTTGTGTTTTGTTTTTTTCCCTCCTTCCTTTCCCCACCCCTTTCTCTCTCCCTGTCAGATATCTGTGTATCCAGGTCCTTTTGCATCACTGTTATCCAGGAGCCCTGGAAGCCCCCTCAGTCCCATTCCTTCCAGTTTCACCTCCTGCTGTAGCTGAGCTGTTGAGACAATGGAGCTCAGGACTGTGGTAGCCACCGTGGAAAGCGGGGAGCAAGACACAGTTCTCAAGGTGCTTCAGATCTACAACCAGGAGGTGAGTGAGCGTCAAACCTCTGCCTGACGTCAGCTGCTGCTGTTTACAAGCCTGGAAGCAGGCTGGCCATGTTGTGGGATTTCTGTGCCATCCGGCTGTCCCCAGTCTGTCTCCTCTGAGCGCATCTGTCTGTGCATTACTGCCATAAAAATGTTACAGATTGCTTCGTCTTTTGCTTGCAGATGGTTTATTCCTTGATGTTTTGCTAGGAAGCAGCTAAGCAGCCTCTCTTTATCTTGGTTCCTTTGTATACTGGAAGTAAAGCATGTAGAAGGGATTTTTTCTTTTATTATTATCCAGATCCCAGGTAAAACCTGGCAGGGAAATAAACATCAGTGTGAAGACTGAATAGGAGGAGCTTTTATGTTAAGGCAAGGTTTGGAGGTAATAAAACTGAGGCCTGGGGAGGAGCTGCAGGTGAAATGGTTGTTGTGATTTGCAAGTAAAAGATCATTAGTGATAGACAGGGATGGGCTGCTGGAATTTGATACAGGTGCCAGATCTGAAAGCTGACAATAAGAAGTAAATAACGAATATAGAATATCAAAAAAAGAATGGTTGGGAAGCAGAGATGGAAGTGTTTCTAGCCTTAAAGTGGCAAAAGATTATCTGTGGGGGTAAATCCCTTTTGAAATAGACTCTGGTTGTCAGGGAAATTTCCTTCAGAGGGTTTCCACCAGGATAGGGCTGGCCCTGCAGATCTCTGTGACTCATTCTGCACCATTCTTGAGTAGGTGGGAAGCCAGCAGGGAAAACCTGTGAATATTTTGCACGAGTGTGCAAGAGGGAGAGTGTGCAACTATTTCCCGCAGTCGGTTTTGAAACGGGGGAGATATTAGCTAAGAAGGAGTGGGTTCCTGTTAAAGACAGTCTGCAGGATTAACATCACCTACAGCAGGTGTAATGCGGGAGAAATTAGGAGTACAGAGTTTGATGTGTTACCAGCTTGAGGCATCAAACCACAATATTTTCTGTCAAATTCCTCCAGCTGGATCCTTTGTCAGTGTATCAAGTGTAAGAAACTTGTGAGAATGTCAGTGGTTTTGCTAGCCCATCTAGAAGAAATGGAGAAATCAAAGAGGATTATGAAACTGCAGATGAACTAAGCAACTTCCTTGCATCATTTTTTTACTGTAAAAATTGATGGTACTGTATCCTTTTTCTGGGGATATATTTTAATTCACTATTGCACACACAGTCAATTTTTGTTTGCTAAGAATAAACTACAGCTAAAGCAAAACCACAGGTATGGCAAAAATATACACGAATGAGATTACAGGAGCCTGCAAAGAGGATGCGATGGGAAAAGAACAAGTGGCATGGTTGTCTGCAGAGCACATCAGTTCCAGGGCTGAACTGCCAGTTCCTCATAACGTGGTGCAACAGCCTATGCACGGGTCAGCTCACAGCGCTGAAGCATGGGAGGGCAGCCCCTGGCACAGCACTACAGGAGTACCGCTGTCCTGCCTCCACACCTGAGGTTTCTCAAGCAGCGTGTCGGCATCGCTTTGTCCATCGTGGCTTGCTCTAGGCTAGAAAGACCAAAGCCATCCCTGGGATCTTGGTGACTGTGACACAGTTCATCTGCAAACTGTGTCTTCTACTTTTAAGCAGACAGGAATTGGCAGCATGTAAAAAGGATGCTGAATGGCAGGGGAGACTACATTTGCAGAGTGAGCGAGTCAGGGAACACCTGCGATCTCCAGAAGCGCAGTGCAGTCAGTCTCGGGCTTGGCTGAGCAGGAAATCAGGTAGAGTTAGACAACGGAACGATTTGTGAGGTGATAAATACAGTGGGAGATGAGCTCAGCTGTTCAGACCTGTAGATGGGATATCTGTGAATTGTGATCACTCAAGAGAAGAATAAGTGCAGGGTATAAGAATGATTGATTGTGGTAAGACTAATTACCATTACTGAGCAGCTCCGTATGAGTAAGCAGTATAACTCAGTAAAAGGTGACAGTGAGTGCTAAGAAAATGATGGGAGAATTATGATACAATTTTATCCATATATCTCTAGCTATAGATGTAGCTGTATCTATGCATACGTAATTAGTGTTTTATAAATTTTAAACATATTCATTCTCAAAGCTTGGACCAAATGCTCTTTTGGTGTAAATGAGGATGCATCATTCACTGGAAAGTGCTGCTTTTCATCAGGGCACCTGTGATCTCCTGTATTCTCCAGTTCATTGGAAGCAGATGTAGCCAGAAAGTCCATCGAAGAACAGCCAGAATAGTAAGAAACGCAGAAATGCTTCCCATCAACAAAGAGGAGGGCTGTTTATTAAGGAAAGGGACATGGTGGCAGTGTAGAGATCAGGTCTCTTGTGTTTAAAGAACACGACCTGAATAACCACAAGGATCTGTTTGCAAGTAACGAGGAGACAGTAGTACTTTCTTTTGGTCAGGAAAAGAAACAATAAATATCAAGGGGGAAAAATGTGTAGGCACAGCTTGGTGGTGTCACTGAGCAGAGGAATTATCAGCTATTACAGGATATATGGATTGTGATGAATGCCCACTTTACTGCTGCAGTATTTAAAAATAAGTCCATCTGTCAGATGGGCACAGCTTTGGCCTGTGGCAGTCAGCCTCCACTGTAGAGCCAGCGGAAGAGGGCAATGGGTAATATTCATCACAAATGTTTTTCAAGGATGAAAGAGAAACAGGGGCCTCCAGGGTAGCGGAGCTCTCACTCAAAGAAAGCACTTCAGACCTGCTGACATTGTCCATCTCTGTGCTTTTCAAACCAGATTCATTCCCCCTAATTGTGAAGCACATAGTTGGAGTTGCCTGAGTAGGAACAGTGTTGGAAAGAAAAGACAGGAAAAAAACGTCAGTGGCAGGAAAGTTTTCCTTTTGTCTTGTTCCTCAGGAGCTTGCGCTGATTGTTACAAACCTCACAAATATTGTAGACCTCTCTAAATGCTGTGGCTGAGAAGATGTGCTTGCTTTTGCAGTGTGTTTTTAGACCTGCTGCTTTCTAGCTCAATGGCCCTTCCCTGCCTTGGGGGGAACAGTGGATTTTTAATCTATTATTTTATTTTGACTGTTTCTGTTTTGCCCCCGCAGAAATCTCAGTGCTTCACCTTTGACGATGAGGAGCGGGAAGAGAGGAAGGTAGGCATGCTCTTTGGTTTCTTCCTCTAGTGGGATGGGTAAATCTGCTGCTCCATACTTGTGTCCAGCTGGGAAAGAAATGAGTGTTTTTTCATTAACTTGATTAGGGAATGGTGTGCTCAGAGCATCTGCCTCCAGTTTTTCCATCAGTAGTTAGTGTTTTAGGATAAAGGTCAGCATTCTTCCAGCATTAGCAAGCCCTTTGGGTTCCATGATGCGTATAGTCTCAGCCACGGGTGTATAGAAAGTGTGATCCTTTGTGTTTGTGGCATGAGTCTGCTAGGCAAAGATCATAGCAACATGCAAGCCTCTAGAGGGTAAGTGTTTTTGCTGTGAGCCAGCTGCAGGATTTGACCAAGGCTGTATATTAACAGATACTTTAACCTGGTGTAAGCTGGTACTCAATGGAAAGAAACACTCCTGCCTGTTCATTTGTATTCTTGCAGTTCTTTCATGCCAGGGCAGACCTTTGCATGGCTGCACATCGTTGATGGGCTGATCTGCCTAAAGAATAACACTTTTTTTTCCTGGATTCTTTTCCAGCTGGATCAGTTTTGTGGTCCAGTTCATTGGTTGATTGCGCTAATGCCTATTTTAGCACATCAAGTGTGGACCAAGCAGCCAGGGTGGAGAATGGGACCTCTTTTGTCTGTGCTATTGCCAGCTAATGCTAGCATGAAGATTTTCTGGGTACCACCTGATGCGTAGGACTGGATCTCACAAGATCTGAGCTCTTTGCCTTGCACTGACTTGCTGCTTGAGCTGGGACAGTCACACAGGCCGTGAATTCAGACACAGCCTTGGGGTGCTCCACTTTTGGGGCGTATATCATGAAATATGAATTGAGCATCACCATCTAGTTCCTGGTGCTCAGTTCTTCTGAAGGTTTAGCCCTGGGCACATGCTCTGAGATCTCTTTAACCTGAGTCAGTCAGAGGCTTTGGTTACTTATGACTGTATCTTTAACTCCTGTGTCTGTCTCCTCATATGGAAGGAGAAGAGGAATGACTGTACTTTCTCACTTCTCAAGGGTGTGATTGTGGGGCATACTTCATGAGCTAAAGCTTGTTCAGTTCTGCCAGCCTCACGTTAAGGACTAAAATTCATTTTTTCTTCATTCCTTCCCTCAGTCCTTTTATTATTATGAAGTGTAACTGATTAGGCTGTGTTAAGCCAATTACAGTGAATGATAGCAAATCTTGCAATCTTGGATTCCTTTGCTCTTATAATGGAAATGCATGGAAAGAGGTGCTCAGATATGATGTTAGGTTAGAGAGATCTAGGGAGATCTTACCAAGGTGTGAATGTCTATGCAGTGGATTACTAGTGTAATGTGAAGTGTTGCTACACATGGTTCAAACCAAGCTGCGCGTGGTTGTGTGAAGCATTACCTTTGCTCATGTACTCTTCAGTTGCTTGCTGTCACATACGATGCTGTTATCCACAAGGGTTAGATTTTCAGCTGTTGCGATTTGATGTTAGTGGAGCTCTGCCAGTCTGTACCTACTGAGGATCTGGGCTAGTAGGTCTCCAGACAGCACTGAGGTTTAGGGAGGTAGTACTTATTTGATTCTCCTGAGGCCTTTTCACCTCCTTTCCTAGGGCATCACATGCTCTTCTCACCTCGCTTAGGTCCTTTTCTCCTCCCTTGGCAGTTTTCTGAGTTGCCTCTCAACCTTTTTGGCCTGTTTCTGGAGCACCCAAAGCAGATGCCTCCCTCATCTTAAGGCTCTGGGTGGAAATAGAGAACTTCTGTTGAATTGGTTTTTGCTCCTCAGTGAAGCTATAAGGGACTTTTTTGACCTGCCCTCTCTTAGCTTAATGCAGCTGTCAAGTAAACTGTATTAGCCTGAACCGTCCTAACCACGGGTGAAGCTAAAATATGCAATAATAGCAGTTGCTTGTTCATACTTTCCCCTTACATCTGATACCCTTTCCCAGCTGTTCTTTGTTTCTTGCTGGGTGTCCTTGCTCGAATTGGGTCAGGATCAGATGCCAGAGCCAAACACTTCCCGAATGCTGCCAAGTGCACACCTGAACCAGAGCCGTTAGCAGGCCCATCTCTAGACGACAGTCGTGTTTTACAGGCCAGAGCAATACAGGATGGTGGGGGGGGCGCACTGTGAAGTGTCAGTACACGAGGCGTTGCTTGTTTCCAACTGCACAGAAAATGGCCCAGCTGCTGATCAAGTTCCTGGAAAGAGAGCTGCAGCCATCCTGCCAGGTCACGTGTTTGGAAAGCATCCGCATCCTGTCCCGGGACAAATACTGCCTTGACCCTTTCACCACCAAGGAAGGCCTGAAGACCCTCTCCAGGCATGCTGGCATTGATTACTCAGAGGAGCTCATCCGGGAGGTCCCAGACTTGGATGTAATCCTGGAATCCCTCAAATGTCTCTGCAACATTGTCTTCAGCAGCCCTAGGGCACAGGAGCTGACAGCTGAAGCCCGGCTGGTGGTGGGCCTGGCCAAGCGCATCAAACTGTACAATGAGAGGAGCCTTCCTCATGAAGTCAAGTTCTTTGACCTGCGTCTCCTGTTCCTGCTGCCAGCGCTCTGCTGACAGCGCTGAGAGTGGACATCCGGCAGCAGCTAGCCCAAGAGCTCAGGGGCGTTAGCCTGATGGCAGATACCCTGGAGCTGACCCTTGGTGTAAAGTGGTTGGACCCCTACGAAGTTGCCACCGAGGAGGGACTTCTCCCACCTTTGCCTCGGCAAGAGACAGAGCGAGCCATGGAGATCCTGAAAGTTCTCTTCAATATCACCTTTGATTCCAGCAAGAGGGAGGTGGACGAGGTAAGCTCCTTGGGTGTCCCACCCCACTGCATTCACATGTCTCCAGGCTGTGGTTTGGCTACTGTTTCTCTCCTCTGCTTGCATTTCCTCGTATTACTGGCCCTCATGCAGCCCCCAGGTACATGTAAGGGTAGCAAGAGGCTTGTGTGTCCAGACCTTCCTCCCTAGAGCACTGCCTCTATCCAGTGCATCATTAACCCTTAAGATTTTTAGAGCATTAAAATTTAAAAGTTAGGCATTTTTCCTTCTCAATAATATGATTTGTTGCACAAGTGGGAGAGCAGAGCCCCCAGATAACTTGCTTCTGAGTGTGGCCTTGTACTCTTTCATCTTCTGGACAAGGTCAAAGGACGGTGTGATGGAGAACACCTCTGGCTAATCCATGGGCTTGTTTTGGGGCTTCTTCCAGCCCTTTACTCAACGTTGTAGAGTGAGGGAAAAGGTACCGGGCAGCAGGAAGACTGTGTGTTGACCTCAAAAGCAGAATCGGGAGGCTACTTCCACTTAAACACCCTGCTGCCAGTTATCAGGCTGCTGGAGAGAGGGATGGGGCTCTAGGCTGCAGGGACAGCAGGCTCTGGGTTGTGGAGGATCCTCGTTCCTGATCAAGGTTTTCATTTTCTGTTTTGGGGCCAGGAAGATGCTGCTTTGTACCGGCACTTGGGTGCCCTCCTGCGCCACTGCCTCATGATCTCTGCTGATGGAGAAGACCGGACAGAGGAGTTCCACAGGTCTTTGTTAGATAACTAGGTCATGATCTTCACGAGATACTGCCTGATCTTGGCATTAACATCCTCTGCTTGTTTGGTGATTGCTAAGGTCACTGCTGACAAGCAGGCATCTTTGGTTTGGCCCGCAGGTTCCTCATGCTGCTGGAGCTGAGAAATAGCCCTGCCCTTCCCACCGTCAAATGATGTGCGCTAATGCCACAGCCTCCAGGTCTACAGGAGGAAATATTTTCTCCAGGCCTGCCTGACCCCAAGGGCCGTATTCAATATCCTGCGTCAGGCCTCCTCAACAGTGCCACCCACTTCAGTGGGCAACTTGCCAGAGCAGATATTTGGTATTTTAATTAAAGAGTCCATGGGCTGGCCTTAATTAACTGTCTCTTGAGCCAGGCTGAGAAATTGCCTGTGTCACACTGCTGAGCATTATTGGTCCAGGGGGGTCAGCTTTGAGCAGCGTAGTCAGAGGAATCCTAAGCAATGCATTGCATTGAACATCAGGGTGAGAATGAGTGATGCAGCAGGAGACCCTAGAGACAGACCTTTGACCACCCAGATTGGTCCTACTTGGCCTCTGTGTCAAGACCCATGGTTTCTCAGTTGTCACTGAAGTCTCTTCGGACTTCCAGCAAATAGTTCAACTACCCAAAAAGCAGTGTAATTTATTGCCTTTTAGTGGTGTGAGGAGCTTGGGATGTAGCCCAAAGACAGCTTGGATCTCAGGGTCCTCACACTCCTGGAAGTTAGTAATGAACCTTCATTTCTGGATAGCTGAAGAACTTCTGTGAACAAAGATCCGTGACTATGTGTTCACTTCTCTTCTCTTTAATATGTTCAGTCATACGGTTAACCTTTTGGGCAATCTGCCCCTGAAATGTCTGGACGTCCTTCTGACCCCGAAAGTCCGGCCAGGCTCGCTTGAGTACATGGGTGTCAACATGGATGCCGTCAGCATCCTGCTGGATTTTCTAGAGCGACGCCTTGACAGGGTAAGTTGGGAGGCTGCTGTGTGAGTTCGTCACTGCTCATTTTCACAAGTTCACTGCAGGGCACCTCTCCTTCAGCCTGTATTCATCCTTGAAAAGCCCAGTGCCAACACCACAGGAGCACTAGGAAGGCACAGTTAGTTCGGAGATATCCCTTCATAGTTTTTAGCAGAGGCAAAACTGTTATGGTTGGTAGGACTAAAACAACATCTGTCAACTGGGAAGGTGACTGCGTCATTGCTTTAGGGACTGCAGGTAGTGAGATTGGTTGAACAGTAGATGATTAGCTGGGCGATTGAAATATCGGTGCTCTGTTTCACTCAGTAGTGATCTGGTGGGTAGCTTCTGAAAGCCTGAATTTGCATTATTTTCAAGCTCGCAGTCGTTTTCAGTTTCTGGAGTTTTTCCAAAGGGCCTCTGAATTTTACCGCAGCACTTCTCTACTCTGGGTGCCCTGCACAAATATTTCTAGCACTGCCGTACCACAAAGCAGGGCTTGGAAAACCATCCCACTTGAGGAGTGATGAAGCACTGAAATTCCTGTAGCAGAGGCTGGAAAGCGTTGGTGTCCCTCTGTTTCCCTGATGTTCTGTACTCATGTTCTCCACCACAAGCCAGACAAGTTGAGCTCAGTGTGACTAACTAGCTCAGTGTTGTTTGTTTTGTGGACGCTTCTGCAGGGACACAAGCTGAAGGAGAGTTTGACCCCTGTGCTGAACCTGCTGACTGAGAGCGCCCGAGTCCACCGCCAGACGAGGAAGTTCCTGAAGGCAAAGGTATGCTGTAGTTCAGCCAAAAGTTGAATGATGCTGTGCTGAGGAGAGAGGAGAATAGCAAACTGCCTGATTATTGCCATCCTCCAAACAGACCTGCTCTCTCTCTCTCTCTACTAGGTTGTGATATATGGGTGGTTGAAGCCTTTGGTACCCATAGTGTTTTTTCCACATCTTCCACACTCTGTGGATTTGTTAGTTTTAGCTGATTTGTAAAATGCACGTACGTTTTCCCCTGTCTGACCTGCCATTGCTGTTCCAGCTCCACTGATCGCCCCTCACTGTGGCCTTGTAGGTGTTGCCGCCGCTCCGGGATGTGAGGAATCGGCCGGAGGTGGGGAACTCGCTGCGGAACAAGCTGGTGCGTTTGATGACCCACATCGACACCGACGTGAAGCACTGCGCGGCAGAGTTCCTCTTCGTGCTCTGCAAGGAGAGCGGTGAGTTGCAGGGTCTTGTTGTGGGCTTTGGTGACAGGGAGTCCTGGAGCCTGGCCTCTGCGCAAGCCAGAGAGCGTGGGATGGGTGACCCTTTGCAGCCAACAGGAACTTCTGTCTTCCCTTGGGCCAGATACTCTCCGCTTTTCCCTACTCAGTGTATGCAAGTGCTCTGTGGGAAGGAGTTGCTGTCTCATGGCAGCGGTGAGTGAAAATCTCTGCTGGAGGACACCCCAACACCCTGCAGACAACCTGGCCTTCATTCAGACCCCCGCCCCTGGGTGGGGTTGTCCCTGCCATTCCTGGTGCGTAGTGTGGGAGCCTTGCTCCCTGTCACAGGGTTCAAAGAAGCGTTGGCATTTCTGGGTCTCCGAGGCCTTGTGCTGATCTTGCTGTTGGGGCACACAGGAGCAGACGGGGCTGGAGAGGCAGGCGGGGAAGCACAGAGTGGTCTCTTTCCACTTCTCCTGGCAGTGTCGCGGTTTGTGAAGTACACGGGCTACGGGAATGCAGCTGGGCTCCTCGCAGCACGAGGCCTCATGGCTGGTGGTCGGGAAGAGGGAGAGTACTCAGAAGACGAAGACACAGACACTGAGGAGTACAAAGAGGCAAAGCCCAAGTAAAGAAGTCTGCTCCCCCTCGATAGAACCCCTCTTCCTACACCTTCTTCCCACTCCTGCTCTGTCCCTTTCGTCATCTGCCTCCCTGCCATTTCCCTTGTCCTCTTTCACATGCGCATTTCCTTCTGCATTACTTAACAGTTTCACCCTTAGCTTTGATGTCCTGTTCCACCCTCTCTACCTGTTCCTTGGGTGAAATGCCTCTGTGGCTCTTGGTGTGGGTGGTCACTGGTGCATATATTGGGTCCCTGCAGCTGGGCACAGGCTCTAGAGCAAAGTGGGTTCCTTCAGCCAGAGCCCATTCTGCACCAGACCTGTTCAAGATGTGCACGTGGCAGTATATCTCTCTCTAATCCATATCTTGCACCTTTTTTTTTGGTGTCCGCACACCTCAGTACAGTGGCAGGCTTTTACTGTGCGCTGGGATAAGGGATAAGGGTGGTCCCTTCTTGCAGCAGATTTGGAAGTGCCAATTACTCCTCTCCCCTCCAGAGCTGCTGGAGGGAGCTGGTTTTTTCTTTTTTTCCTTTTTTTTTTCTTTGCCTGCTAGTGGGTGGTGGTAACTCAAGGATGAGGGGTGTGCAGGGAGAGCTCTAGGACTGTGCTCAGCTGTGGGTCCCATACTTTCTAGCATCCTGTTCAATGCGGTCTACAGGCTGGGTTTGGGGTTTTTTTTCTGTGTTAGCTTTTTGCCTCCCGACTTAAGGAGAGGAAAGAAGTGTCATCTGCCCTTGTGCACCTGGTTTAAAACTGCACTGTAGAATTGGCAGGATGGGGATGTTGCTCACACCAGAGAAATGATAGGGATTTTTAAGGGGATGACTGCATAGGACCTACAGAAAGTGGTCAGAAGCACCATGTTGCACTGCGATAGCACTTGGGGCTAATGAGACGAGCAGCAATGACAATCAGCCTTGCCATTGTGTTCCTGTGCTCAGTAGAGGCAAAGAAAGTTTTTAAACAGCCCTTTTGTCACACCTCTGCTTTACCTCCTTCCTTTGTCCCGGCCTCACTATTCTTCTTGCAGCATTAACCCTGTGACGGGACGCGTTGAGGAGAAACTACCCAACCCCATGGAAGGGATGACTGAAGAGCAGAAGGAATACGAAGCCATGAAGTTAGTCAACATGTTTGACAAATTGTCCAGGTACTAGAAAATTGTGTATGTTTGTGTCTGCATTAGCACCTGCGTGTCTGTGATTTACATTTATCACAGACCTTTCTTTGAATGTATTCCCCAGGCCACCACTAACTGAAGGGATGTAAGAGAGAGTGGGCGACATACGTGGGGAAATATTTCCTTAGGCTGCACTCCGTTATGTGCAGGGGAAGGCGCTGCAAGCCCCACACACCTCTTTGGTGTGATTGGCATATTGTGAAATTCCTCTACATGCCTGCACTGTCTTTCCAAGCACCTGCTGCCTCACCAGGTTCGGCCAGGTGCTCAGTAAGAACAGCAGCTGCTGTCCTGGCAAGGCTGCTCAGTAGGAAGCAGTGTTTTGGGGACAGATGGCAGCCAGTGCCACCAAGTCCCTTTCCCTGCAGGAGTGCTTTCTCCAGTCATCTTTCATCCATCATTAATAGGTGCCACAGAGAAGAACCCAGAGTCTGCCAACTGAGTTCAGGCCACCCCCAAGGGTGGGAGGGAAAAGGGCAGCACATTTACTGCATATATTTCCATTGTTAGTGTTAGAGGGAGAGGAATGCTGACACCAGTGCTAGTTTTCCTCTGGCAATCCTGTACCACACAGAACAGGACCCTAAAACTGAGCCTATTCCAGGGAACCTGAGAATGGCAACACTAGTGGATTGTGCTTCCAGCCATCGCCTCAGCATGCTGGAGGTTTTATAGCTAGAACTGTCCCCCTCTTCTAAAAAGGGACTCTTGGTGGTGGCGTGGGGTTGTTCTGGGCTGCCTCGGGGCAGTTTCCACAAGCCCCATGTTTCTGCTGTAGTACTTGTCTATTCCTCCAGCATCTGCTGCAAATTTGTGTTGCCTTCCCCCCTCTCCTCATTGGTTGCAGAGAGCAAGTCATCCAGCCCATGGGCATCACGCCGAGCGGCAACCTGGCCCCCATGGAGAATGCCATCCGCGATATGGCTGATGAGAGGTCGTCGTCCGACTCAGACCTGGGGCTGGACTGATCCAGACCTCTCGCCCCAGCCTCGGAGAGCTGGGCAGCCTCCACCCGCTCTCCCTCCAGAACTGGTGCTGCACCCAGAGGCTAGTACTGGGCCAGGACTCTGCCTGTGGGATCTGGATCCAGCCTGGACCCCTCAGTCCACAACAAGGAACACCTCCTGCCTCCTTTCCAGCTCCATAGCCACCTCTCCTTCCAGAGGGTCTTCGTGGCCTGGCTCCACCTTGGTCTCTCCTGTCAGCAGCCTTGAGGATTTCAGACTCCAAATTGCTTCCAGGACTTTCCAGTAGGATTTTTTTTTTTTTTAAATATGTGATGTTTGGGAAGAAGGGCGGGGGGGAGGATCTTTCTGTCACTGTCAGGGTTCAGTAATCTGCAGAGCATCTTGTATATGTGCCGACACGTGTGTGGCCGCTCATCAGCGCACGCGTCACTGTGCGTGGCTACGTGTGGCCCTATGTGGGGGGAGCTGCTCCCCGGGAATGCAGGTGGGAAGGTGGGACTGCAGGAGAGGGGTGTGAGCGGTTATTCACGGCAGTTCTTGGGGAGCGGCGTCTGTGGGGTGTCTTGGCATAGTGCATCCATTTCTTTAGCAGGTGGCTGAATGTGTGTGTGCTATGTATGGCTGTGAGCGTGACGGTGTCTGTGCAGAAACAGGAGTGTGTGGACTCAGGAGTGTGTACGTGAGTGCAGAGGGGAGCAGTGGTGTGTGCACTGTGGGGAGGCGAGTAAAGCCTTCGTGTGAAGCTTCCAGCATTCCCATCGGCCACAGGAGAGAAACGTGCAGGTGACTGCCAGGAACACTCTGATATTCAGTCGCTGGCACTGTGCAATGTTCCTGTTACCACGGAGTTTAGTTTTTGGCATTAGCCTTTCCCCATGTCACGCTTTCCAAATGAAAGGCCGAAATCTGTGCTTTGTCTGCTGCCTTTTCGTCTGCCTTGGCTTTCCCGCAGGTCCACTGCTGTTTGCACCCAGGGGCTGGTGTTGGTCCTGTCCTTCGCTGTGGCTTAGATTTGTCTTTTTTTTTTTGTGTTGTTTTTTTTTTCTTTTTAAAGAAAACTGTTTTAAAGAAAATCTTCCACTTTGTCTCATGTACCAGAGTTCCAAAACTTATTAGCACAAGTAGGAATGCAAAAGTGATGCTAGAATAAAGAAAACCTGACAAATGGGCGCATGGCAGTGATTCATCGAATGTGATAGCTCTGAGCAAGTATAGAAGTATCTTTGTTTTTTTCTGACTGGCACATGGTTCTACTCTGATCGCCCTGAACTTCACAGTTTTATTTGGGAGGTAAAACTGTGGCATTAGACTGGGGCTAAGCCAGAACCTTTCCCTGCACCACGACCACCAAGTATAACCAAATGGAGCATCGCAAAGTTAAAGTAAGCACTGAAGCCTGAGGATTGCAAAACAATCTTAGCTCGACCCCTCGGGCCTCACAACATGCAGTTGTTTACAGAACTGTTCATCTCCTTTACAAATAGCCCGTAATGGTTGAAAATTGTGCACACCAGCTCTGCCTTCTGTCTGTGCAATAGGGATTTGCTGCTCAGCCTTTGCAGGACACGAGCCAGCCTCGATGGTGGTTTGGCTGCGTGGGTCTGCTGCGGTTTCTGGCTCCCCGCGAGGCAGCGAGCGCAGCGCGGCTGGGGCTCTGGTGCGGAGGCAGGACAGGCTGGCCAGGCTCCGCAGTGCGGCACCGTATCGGACATCCAGGAGATCTGGGTCCAAGGAGGCTGCAGACTTGCAGTGGGGTGAGTGGAGGGTTTGCAAGTGTTTCTGCCTGTGTATTTTTAGGAGTTGGTGCTTGTTCAGAAAACAAGTCGGTCTCTATGACATGAAAAGCTGAAGGTATGCTCCATTTAGTTTAGTTCTTCAGTGATTAAGAATTTTTTCAGTAGTCCTGATTAAAGTTCCAGGCTCTCCCAGGGGTATACAATACTTATGTAAAACTGACCCACTAAGATTCATGGATAGGCTTCTGTCATGAGAATAGCTTCAGTGTATTACAGCTGGAGTTTTTAGGCCAGCTGCATCTCTCTTTTTTTTTTTTTTAAAGTAACTAGCAAAAAAACCCACCGCAGACCTCCTGTGTGAAAATGCAGACCTCTGATCTCTTTCCAGCTGTTAAAGCTCTCTAAAGCTTTCCATGCAAAAGGGGAAGTGGGGGGTGTATTTTTGATGCAATACTTCTGATATTGTTGTATTCTAATTTTCTATTGAAACCCTGACCTGCAACTGACAGGCCCTGCTTTGAAAAGCCCTGGTGCAGGGGCTGAACTTGGCACAGGGTGCTTCTGGACTAAGGGTTTATAAACAGGGTGCGGTTTAAAAACAACACACTGCCACCGTTTTCAGTGTGAAGCACTGTGCCGCGAGGCTTCTGGCGCTCTGCAAAGTGAGAGAACAATCCATTGCTTTTCCTGAGTCTGCGCAATGAAATACATCTGCTGGGCTGGTCCTGGCTGTGAGGAGGAACATGCAGGTACATTTGAATTGTGCATTTGGATAAACAAGTCTGCTCTCCTGAATGGGAACTTGTTCAAACCTTCCTTCAAGGAAGCAGCTGGGACACCAAGCACTGAACACTCTGTCCCTGTAGCATTAGCAGTAGATGTGCCAGGCTTCTGCGGGGTCCCTAGAGCTAGTCTGATTTATAGCAGATGAGTATAGGTCCAAACACTTCTAATTATATAAACAGATAGCTGTAAGACAGTGTTTTGAGGCTCTAGCTTTGCCCTGGAAGAGCTTTTAGGCATAGAGGTCAGTAACAGTGTTCCAGTGTTGTGTTAGTAAGACACAGCTGTGTGCTCAAATGCTATTATTCCCTTCACTTGGGTTTTCTGCAGTTTAGTGTTAACTGTAATGAACTGGTGGCACAAAATGCTTTGCATTTTGTTGTGCTTGTTTAGAGCTGGTACTGCTTGGGATTGCCTCTAGAACAGTTGCTGTGATAAACAGATGGGTCAGCCAGGGCCACCTGGGTGTGACTTCAATCCCCACAGCCAAATTTGGGTGCTGGGGTGATGGAATTCATGCCCTGTTGCAGGGAAGAGGCTCTGCTACACCTGTGACATGCACAGTACGTCTGCTAGGGCACATTTGGGAAAGAACAGGACATCACTGCGGTGCTCTGACTGATACTGCCTCTCCCTGGGACGGCGTTTACAGGGAGGAAAGGCACTTGTGTAAGGTTAAAAAGAAGAAGGAAAAAAACAAATTAAAAAAAGTAGGTGAAGAGTTGGCGGGGGGGGACAGAATGTGTTCAAACACGAGGGAAGATGTGAAATTTACAGGAAAAAACCCTCAGGTGACATCGGCAAAAGAATTGGAACTCTTTTTATTATTAAATAATTAACACTACACCAATTCAAAGCTCTTCCAGCAGCGTGGTGTTCCTGAAGAGAAATGGGGGGCAGCCCCCCATGACAGCATTCGTCCCCTGATTAGCAGAGATTTCATCTGAAGAATAAACACTAGAAGTCTGCAGCAGCTGAAAGATCATGACTAAGAGAAGAGTGTCTGAGGAGGAGCTGTGAAAGGAGTTGGTAGATGCTCAGTCCGGTGAGGAGCTGGAAAACTCACTCCAGACTGAAGTGATTCTGTCTTGTCTTAAGGCCTGACTTTCATGGCATTTTCAACGCCTGATCCTTGAAAACCAGGCCCTCGGAGGGTCTCTCAGGTTGGACGGCTCAGAAGGAGGGAGACCCAAACAGCAAGCTGCATATGCACAGCTCGTCTGACGTGCTGCACGAGCCCACGAGCTCCCGGCCACTTACTGGTGAAGCTCTCGTGGCTGGACGTTGTCAGATGGTGTGCTGATGGGGTGACAGCCAGAGCCATGGAAGAGGAAAGTCTCTCTTAGTGGGTGCCGAAATGAGGTAAGACAAGGAGGGAACAGTGCTCAGTGGCTACATCAACTGTTCTGAAGTCTTGGGTAGGAAAGCCTTCACGTGCAGGACCAGTTTGCAGCTTGGCATTTGGGCTTCGCTCCCTTCAGCCTCCCTTCCTTCGCAGGTGAAGGCTGCTCTGCTTTGCTTCCCGGCTGGCTGGATTGAGCCACGAGCATCCCCTCCTCCCCAGCGTGACAGTCCTGTGTGGATTTGCTGCTGCAGAGCCGGACGGCCTCTTCCATGGCTCCCTGCCATGAACTCTCTCTCTGCCCATGCTGGGCATGACAACATCTCCTTTTCAAGGTGAACATTGCTCTCCAGCAGCAGGGAGCCAGCTGTCCTATTTGTCTTTTGCATCCAGCTAAAAATAGAAAGACCACACAGTGTTTGCTAGTGTGTTTCAAACCTTCCAGCCCCTGTTAGCTCAGCCAGCAATACTTCCTAGCACCAAAATTCCGGAGCAAGGAGGAGTTTGTTTTTCACACTTTACCACATTTGCATCAGCTTTATCCGTCAGTGATTTAAAGCAGCACAAGCATTAAACCAAGGGCTGGTTGATCTCATACAAGTGCAAAATGGCTTGTAGTGAACAATCAAAGGACTAATAGTTCCTATTCATTCCTACCCCGTATCCTGATGAAAGTAAGAACAACCTGGATGTTAAAATTGGAATCTTGAAGCCAGATTTTTCTCTTGGGTCAGAAGAAGTCATGTATGGACAGTGTACCTGTTAAAAATGTAACTGGCTTCTTACTACGGTGAGTTGGCAGAGCCCCACTGCAGACATTGGAGCTGTGCCCTTTTACACAAGTGGAAGAGTTGGCTTAACCCCCAAGTTACAACTTCTGCTTAAATTAAAAAAATGTTTAAAAAGCGTTTGATGCCAAATGTGGAAAAATCTTCCCAGCAGGTCTAAAATAATGCAACAATTAACATTAGCACTAAACTCAAAGTAATTAAGAACTTGGTCTCCTACAATTTCTCACTTCTGAGGATCTCGAAAGATTACAGATATAAGAAGAATGGCACAGGGAAATAAATGATCAGCGGGGGAAAAGAGTCAAGTCTTTAGTTGGCAATTCAACGCTGCCAGATGGAGCAAGTACCCTCGCTCCTGTCTGCTGCTTGCTGCTCGTCGCATGTCTGGCCACTGCAGCACCTTGTTCAGTCTCGGACATAGTGCAGCTAGAGCCTCCCTTTCCTTACTACTATTACTTACTTCTCACAATGACCAGAAAAACCACTAGAAATGAAACCAAAGCAATTAAGCGAATGTACAGAAAGAGGAAAGCTCCACTAAGGTGATGCTTGGCTCCTTGGTTTAGTTCAGCAGTTATTCATGTTCATGTGCCATTAACAGCATCCCAGGCTCAGGCTCTCAGCCAGGGAAAAAGCAGCGTAAAAACCAACGCCTGAACAGCAGCCTCAGCACCCGAGAGTGTGCCCCACTGCGTGTCTGCACGCTCAGTGGAGTTTTCCAGTCTCCTCACACGCATCTGAGGGAAGCGTTGCCTGAGAAAGAGAATGCCTATGTTTTGTGTTGTTTAAGTGCAAAGGTGAGTCCTTTGCTGAATTACAAGATTATACTGGATTAACCTGATACAGGTGACAGAGGGGATTTCCTGGTTGGTCACTGCCACCTCCAGGAAACTGTACCTTCATCTGTAGGGCTTTTTCAGTGTGTTTGGGAACAAATAAAAAAAATAGATGAAATCAACCAAAAGTTTTTCAGTGCTTGAACAAGCCCTAAAGTACTCCCATTCAACCCAAAGCCGGGCCTTTTCCATATTCTTCCTATTTAATCTGAGATTGGCAGATCTGCATCCTCTCCTTGTGTACCACTGAAACATTCAGAAACACAGCACACTTTCTGCTCTGTGGCACCTTCACTGTGAGATAGTACTGAGGTTTGCTTTTTTTTGGTTTTTTTTAGCGTTTCTGCACTTTTCTGTGGTCCTTTTCTCTGAATGCAGACTGCAAGCATGGCAATGTCTGTGGTGCAAGTCTAACCCCACCAAGCACAAACCTGTCCCCCCCGCCCCGGAATAACTCCAGCACGAAGAGGCTGAGGGAGGGAGGCAGGGCTCTGAGCCCCTTCCCACCTTTTCTTTTTCCTTCTGAATTAGTGTTTGCATCTCTTCGTTCCAGTCCAGCAGCTCCACCAGCTTCTTGACCCCACTGACCACGTCACCCAGCTGGGCTATGTCATTGTAGCGTTGCTGCCAGGCGAAGGGTCCTACGAGATCTCGGTTGATCAGGACTCGGGGAACCGAGCTGCGAACAGCTCCTGCCAGGCTGGCAAAGGGCTCCACCTAAAGGAAGGCAACCCGAAGGAGCAGAGAGAGATGGTCACCCTGCTGAGGGGCACTGTGGGCACGAATTTGCTGCACACTAAGCTTGTAACTGTTGTGTTTAACAGTTCTCCCACCGTGGGCTAAGCTGCCCCAGCTTTGAACAGGTTATGGATGTCACCAGTTATCCGGTGGCCTTTCCTCAGGTAGCCGCAAAACTCATTCTTGCTCTCCAGGTGCCTGCCTTTACCAGGAGCACACAAGGTTTTCAGAGGGTCTCTCAAGAGTGCATGCACCCTATTTCTTACCCTGCCACCTCAAATTTTACCTCGATTACCCAGTTTCTCGCCTTTTCCTCTAAACCCTCTCTCTCCTCCAGAGTCCCCTCGGGCCTCGTTTTCTGCGTGCCTTTTTCTCCCTGTAAGCAGGGGTTTCCCTTAGTCCCAGACCTCCAGGGATGTTCCGATGACCAAAAGCAGGTCTGCCATGGGGAAGTCTGTCACATGCAGGAAGAAGCGCTGCGGGAGCTCCTCGCCAAAGAACACGATGTCAGGCTTGATGACTCCAGTGCAGACGGGACAGTGAGGGACCTTGTCTGCCATGACGTCCCCCTGAAGCAAGAGTACCCGACACCACTCATTACGGGGCAGCGCATACCTGCACGGCAGGGTCAGAACCACAACACCTCCTTGCAGCAACCTCCAGCCCCAAGTCTGGTCCCCTCCAATAAAACCTCTTGGCCCTGAGGGCAAAATAACAGGCCTGCAACAGGTTCTCCTCCTTGCGTTAATTTATGTGTCGATGTCCAGCTGCAACCACTTACCCTGAAGTCCTCTCCTGGGAACTTCCTTCGACAGACCGTACAAGTGGCAGTGGCAAAGGTGCCGTGGGCTTCCACCAGTCTATCGGGAGGGATCCCAGCAACTGGAATACACCGTGTGGGAGAGGACCAGCTCAGTGTGAGGTGACTGAACTGGAAACTCAACATTCACTAGGCATTTCCCCAGTCCTGCCTCCTATTCCGCTTCTCACCTTCATCTCTTCCCAGTGCTTTGCTGCTGAGAGATGGGAAAGAGGAAACTCACCTCTCTCCAGCCCGTCAATATTCTGGGTGTAGAGGCGCAGGAGAAGCCCTTTGTCGTGCAGGAGTCGCAGGAAATAGTGGGCGTAGTTGGGTCTGTAGTTGCCAGGGTAGAGCTCCTTGGCCAAAGTGAAAAAGGGCTTAGGGTTGGCAAAGAAATACATCAGTTCGAAGATGGCTTCTGGGTAAGGGATGTTGTACTGCTCAAGGTTACTGTAGAGGCCACTCCCTGGGGACCTGCAAAGAGAGGAGAGCAGGGCGGGTAGTCAGAGTGCAGGAAGAGATGCCACCCCGCACAGAGCCAGACCAAGACACGATGGAGTAGACAGCCAGGTCTCTGGGTTCTCTCTGGCTGCTTTATGCTCTCCATTGTGTGTAAAGAGAGCAGCTGAAACTACCTCTGCATGGAAGGAGAACCTGCCTCACATCCCTGCTCTAGTCCACCCCACCTCCTCCCGGCTTCAGAGGTGTGCCCGCAGTCGGAGGAGGGGAGGGGGTATGCTGTGAGTACCATGCTGTCTTCTAGCTGGAGGGTGTCCAGCCCGCGCCACAGCCACATTGGCTCTTCTCTGGTGGCCAAGGTGGTGCAGTGAGTGCAGTCACAGAATCAAGCAACAGGCATGACTTAACCATCCTGAAGACCTGGGCCAAGGAATGGCCTGAAGTCCGACTGGTGATGCCAGCCTGCCTGCGGCTGGAGAAGGAGGATCAGCAGGCACGGAAACTCCTGTGCCTAGTCTAGCCTGGCACAGGTAAACAAAATGGAGGGGTGAGAGGAGTAGCAGGCACTAGCATTATCTAAGCTGAAGATCTTGGCCTTCCCAGCACTGACAAGGGACAAACAAAACAATGGAGGCATTACCTAAAATCCGGGATGCCGCTGGGGGTGCTAATCCCAGCGCCGGCCATCACCACCACTCGGCGACACTCCTTGTTCCGAATTAGCTCTGCCACATCCTGCAGAGTGAGCTTCTGCTTCCCACCATCATCTCCCCATCTGCCCATTCCTAAAATGGCTCTGGCAGCAGCAGACAAAGAGAAGGGCCTGGTCCCTTGGATCCTGCTCAGAATAGAGAGAAAGCACAGCAGGTAGCATACTGACAGCGACTTCAGCTGAAAACTGCTTGGGGAGAAAATCACCCCCAAAATTTTGCAGAAAGCTCTTCAATTGGCAGGACTATGTGCTAGTACTTAACAAGGAGAAAGCTTAAGCATTAGGCTAATCCATACCTAGAAGTAGATACCTTCCATTGCACTTTTTAAGCAGATCTAAAAATACCAAATCACTGGTACCCCATGAGAGGGTTTTTTTTTGGACAGGTGTGGACATAGGGCTGTGGGAACAGTAGCACTGGGACTCACAAGTCTCATAGTTGATTTACACTGCTCTTGGGCTAAGAAAGACTCTTTTGTATGTCCCGAGTTTCAGTAAGTTTCTAACAGGGTGATGTGGCCACCCTGGGACAACGCTGCCCAGGTTAGCACAGACATTTTAAGTTCTCTGTTTCCCCCAAGGGCTCTGCTTTGAGAGAGCTCCACGTGTAAATGGTAAATGCCTAAAGGAATCACAGGTCAGCATTATGTACAGATGGGGCAGAGAACGGTCATTATCATCTCAAGGAACAGCCTGTCCCCAGGCAATTGGTGCTTGCTGGTGCAGGACATTATGAGCAGTCCAGAGAAGGCGTGGGAATGTGAAGAGCCAAGAGAGAGCTGCTGGACCGTGGCAATCTGCAAATAGCAGTTAGTGAGCTGTAAGCGTCTACTGTGGCCTCAGTGTGGTCGACACTGTCTTTACAAGGACGTGGCTCTGCCTTGTCAGACCGGGTTCCCAGGGAGCTAAATTCACAATCTGGCGACCACTAATGTTTCTCTGGTAAACCTCGTAAACTTCTCTACGCTCCGAGCTCCCAGGCCAGCTCTGGCTTGCAGAGATGGCGACCCGTCTGCCTACTTAGACAGAAGTGGTCCTCCATCCCATGCTTTCGTCGTAACAGTACCGGTTCCTTCCCTTCGGCACCCCGGTGCAGAGGCCTGGTGGGCATCAGGCACCGGCACCGGCTGTGAGGCGACAGACAGCCCTACCTCCGTGCTC